TAATGTGCATTCAAATAGATGGTCTTTTGAAATTACTACTTTTAATATATTTGCTCTGCCACAGAAATCTTCAGACAATACTAAAGCCATTCTTGTAGCAAACCATATGATGCTAGTATCAGAACATTTTTTTAAGTGCTCTGATTTTTCTGACTTAGAGTTCAGTAAACTTCTGCTTGAATTTTTCCAGGGGAATGAAAGAAATGCTCCTGATTACCAAGAGAATCAGAGAAAAAAAAGGCACAGCTAAAAACAAATGTCTATGTTTACATGGGTTAAATCTTTCTCTTGGCAGGGCTGGAACAGGTGGAGAGGGGAGGTAACTTGCTGGTAGGCCTACTGCTCATTATTGGGGTAGCTGGATACATGTTTGGTTTCAGAAAACTTGAGGTCAGGTTTTAGGGCAGAGCCCAGTGCACTGCCTCCTCAGAGAGGGCTGCAGCATGGATGTGGTTTAAGAAAACGTGGATGAAAAGTAAGGCAAAGGAAACAAAAAAGGAAAAGAGGAGAGGAAGAATTCTAGAAAGGCAAGAGAGGACAAGGGGACATGGAGGACAAGGAGGGAAGGCGAAAGCTGAAGCTTATTCACTCTGGGTACCACTGGGGGGCTCCATGGCATTCTATGGAGATGCTTTAATGCAGTGATGCTTTAATGCTGATACTCTGTTCACAACGAACAGTTAAACTTTTAGTGCACTATCATTGATGGGCAACATGGCACAGTGGCTAAGAGTATGGGTTTGGTAATAAGACTTGAATCCCATCCTTCCTCCTAGCTCTGCAAAAGATACCTGACCTCACTTGCCTCATTTTCTGAAAGAAGAATGAAAATAATATACACTGTATGGAATTTCCATCAGATTAAATGATCTAATAAATGCAAAGTACTCACAACAGCAGGGGGCTCCTGCAAAGTTCTATGTGATTAGATCAATAGACTTATCTTATCTCCAGTCCTCATCTGCATTTGAAGACGGAAGGAAGCTTGTACAGGGGATGGGGCTTAGGGAGAGGAAGGGTAATGGGTAGGGAAGTGACTGTGTGTATCCCTGGCAATACACAGACACAATCACGTCACATGGTGTGCCGCCATGTAAGTCAAAGAGACTGCTTTAGAAAGTCCTTTCCCCCACTTAGGACCTTCTAATCCTTTTCAAATTATTTTTCTATCCTCTCCTCCCACTCTCCCTTCATCAGCTTCCCAGGCTGCAGCTGTGTGATTCTCCCTGTTGTTGGTTCATCCTCTCAAGAGACTAATCCCCAGCAGTGTAGGGTTGCAACATAGCTGAAACAAACTGGAAATTGAAACTACATAATTTCATATTACTACAATTATTATATAAAAATTATTTAGTCTCCCCTCACCCATACCCCAACCTGTCCCCTGCTTGGACCCAGGCAGGCTCCAGTTCCTTCACCTCAGATCTCTGGACGAGCTTCCTAACCCAGACTATCTAAACACCCTAGCATAGATTGCTAAATCCCTCCTCAGGTGATCCCCGAACCCCATCTTCCCTGGTTCCCTATCCACTGACAGACTCTGACAGGTATACTGTACACCACCCATCAAAGAAGTTTCTTTTTACAACAGATGGAGGTGACTGCAGAATTCCATGACTGGTCAGACACAGAGAATATGTCTGAGAGATGCCCAGTCCTCAGTGACACATCTACAGTTGAACCTCTACACCTAAGGCTCATGGAATGCAACAGGATGAAGGGCGGAGAGAAAACTGATGCATCCCTCAACTCTCACCAGTGAAACTTCCTTATACAACAGAGTGTGACATACACAGAAGGCCACAATTGGCCAAGTTTTAAAGAGACTGCAGAGTGTGTGTCTGTGGATAGGACTCCTATATTAAACCTCGCCCACCTATGGCTCAGGGACCATTGTGGAAGAGCGGGGTGGAAAGATTGTAAGAGCCAGGCCTGGTTTATGAACACAGGGAAACAGAGGCTTTCGGGCCACTGGAAGCTTGCACGTGTGAACTTGTGGCAACAGCGGCATTGAGCACGGGACCCATGCCAACTCAATCAGACAAGGGCCCAGAGTGGAGTGGGAGAAATGGGTGATGGGTCAGTCCTAGAATGAGAACCATTGGAGACTGGTTAATACTGGGTGAGGGAGAATATACCTTACTTAATATCTCTAGATAGACTGACTAGACTTGAGTGAATGAATTTGCACTGAAAGACGCCTGGGTACAAATGCTTTACTGGATAGAACTTAACATGTATGGTGGAATACATGAGGTCTGGTGGGGGAATGGGGGAGGTATGGATGGGGGAGGGGGCCTAAATTTGATTAAGAACTATCGGGTGAAATGTACAAAAGCTCGATAAATTAAAAAAATTATTTAGTTTTAATTTTATGCTGCCAATGTAGCTCCCATTCCTGCCAAATAATTCTCCTTTGTTGCCTTTTAAATTGAAACATATTTATTTGACAAATATCAAATAACTGCTGTTCAAACTAGAATCTGCTGAGCACTCAGTAAATCCTTGTTGTGAGAATTCCTTCTCTGGGGAAATTTAAACATCTACCTACTCGTCATAAGATCTGAGTGGCAAACCAAAGTATAATTCCACCTAAGGTCACCCTAGGGAGCCAATGAGCTTATTGGGCTTACTTACAGAACATGGGTGAGGGGTTGCTCACAGGAGTGTGGGTGACCCCAAAGGAGCAGTGGAACGTCTTGTCTTTACTCAGCATGGATAGTAGTTTCCCCATAGTCACATAGATTGAGCTCTCCTTCAATTAGCCTCCCTGGCTCATATTCTCTAGCATCCCCCGAAGCCCCAAGGTTATGCAAGTTTGGGAAGAATTGCATACAAATGGCTAGGAAAGATGGCTAGAATCTCAGGTGAGGATCCAATGACCCTTTCCAACCCCCTCCTTTGGTGAGGGAATGTCAGCAGTCAACAAGCCCAGTCCTGATGGTCTCTTCCAAGTAGGCACATCCGAGTTAATGAAGATGGCTACAATTTTGCTCAGAGGACCATGTTCTGTAACAGTTCTAGATACTCTCCCATGCTTAAGTTGACCCTTACAGTAACCCCATGTATTAGTGTTGTTCTTCTATGTGTAGATGAGGAAAACTGCACCTAAAGAACTGTCGCTTGCCTGAGATTCATTTACAATACCTGAGTAGCTCTGTATCCTAACTGGTCTCAGAGGCACCAGGACTGGCCTGGACTTCACTAGAACCCCATTCTGTCTGTTGCATCCTGGCTTCATAGACTAGAACTGAGGCCTACAGAGAGAGCAGTTCTAAACAGAAGTTGAAGGAGTTAAGGAGAGTCTTTATGGGATGTAACACACAGGGGCACAAGAAATGCTGCTTCAGTACCCAGGGGAAAAACTGCTGTGCAGAACCAGGCCAAGAACTGAAGAAAGGAGGCTGTCATGTTTCCACCTCACAGGTTTGTCCTATAGTGATTCAAGGAAGAGAACATGGTCAGGAAATCACTGGAGTGACTGAATAGCCTTGAGAATCCAGTCTCAGTGGCTGAAGTAAAGGGACTGCACCAGTGCATAGAGCTGAACATGAGAAAGATGTGAGGGAATATTCTGGATTCTCAGCAGTCATTCATGAGGAAGAGAACTGAGAGGCCCAAATACCATTCCAAAGGTGGGAATGATGTGAAGCGGTACCAGTTATCATGGTTAATTTGTGGCTTCATTTCTATTGATGAGAAATTAGGCCAAAAAAAAAAACAATTAGATGAAGCGAATTATTTTTGGAACCGGATATGCAAAGAGACCATTAACATGTGACCAAGCACTATTACAATAATATGTACAGGGACTCAGAAAAGAATTCACAAAAGAGGAAACAACTGAGTCAAGGCTCTGAAGGATGAACAGGAGTTTGCCAAATGAAAACTGAGGAAATGGCATGAGTAAAGACAGGGGAGCCAGAGATCATCATACTGTTTTAGGATGTGAACGGGTGCTGTGTGCCCGGCAGCAGGAGAAAGAGAAGACTGCCCACTTGCAGGCATGTAGGCTGGAGCTTAGGTTCAAATAGAAGTTACAGCAGGGCAGAGAAGCTGTCAGGCCCCAGATCCTTTTTTATTCCTAAATCCCTTCTAGCACCTGTTCTGGAGCCTGGAGGTGGGGGCTGACAGAGGCTCTGAAAGGAAATTGTCAAGCCCAGTAATACCCAGCAGACTGTAACTGGGCCTGCAGAGGAGAGTGGGTTACCTAGGTCTTAGGGATCTAAGAATCTCGGACATCATCGGGCTATGTGGTGTGGAGAGTGGGTTCTAGAGCCTGAAATACAGCAGGCAATGTATTCACTCAAATTCTACATGTTTAAAAAAATCGCAGGTATAATTTGCATTGAGAAAAAGCCTCTATAATACTGTGAATCTAAATTTCAACTACTCCAAAAACCCAATTCCTACAGCAAATAACTTCTGCTTAAACGGTGACGGCATCCTTTCTCGGGTGTATTTGGATAAAATGATTGTAAAAAATATATATATAAAACAATACACACCCCATCGTAATTAGAGGGTTGCAAAGGCATTAAAGCCAGAGAGAGAGAGAGAGAGAGAGACAGAGAGAGAGAGAGAGAGAGAGAGAGAGAGAGCGCTCCCACGGAAACCTAAACCTAGGCGAGTGGCATTTAAAAACCACCCATTTTCTGGAACATCTTGTGGCGACACATCCCGTCACCCGGGGAACACTCCGCTCTGTGTTCCTCACACCCCTGCAGCCACCACTTGACACACTGCAGGGTGACGGAGGTCAGTGGTGGGGTGGCCGCCCAGGTGAGAGTCCACCCGAGGCTGCAGCCCATTCGTTGTTACGGCCGGAGCCGGGCGGGAGGGGTTGGCCCGGAGGGGAAGGGGTGGGCGACGCCGAGGGAGTGCGGAGGAGGGGGACGCGGGGACGCGAAGGAGAGCCGGGAGGGGCCGGAGCGCGACGCTGGGAAAGGGGAGTGGAGGGCGCGAGCGGCGGGGACGCGCGCTTCGCCTGGGTCGCCAGCGCGCGCCGCAGCCGAAGCCTCAGACGCGCGGGCGCGAGGGACCGCGCAGTGGCCGCCAGACTGGGGCAGCAGGAGGCGAAGCTTCGGGAAACACGCAAGACAGCTGCGCATCGGGGTCCCGGGCAGCAGCGGAGCGGCAGGCGCTGCGCGAGAACGTGAGTAGCTGTGTGCGTCCGGAGGTGGCAGCGGTGGCGCTCGTCCGGCCCGCTGGAGCTGAGGAGGACGCTGGAGGCTGCTGCGTGGTCCCTGGGACGCTCGCCCCGGGTCCGGCCGCGTCTGCAACGGGAGCCAGACAAGTCGCCGACTCCTAGGTTCCCCACAGCCCTATGACACACCGCGGACGCCCAACGGGAGCACGGGGACCGGCGCGCCAGGAGGATGCGGCTCAAAGCCCGGCGCTCCTGCTGGCGCGAGCCGCCCCCTCCTCGGTCCGCCGCCAACTTCTGTGTGGGTGCCCGCACCCCACGCGCTCCCGGAAGCCCTGCCTAGTGGTCTGCCTGCGGACAGACTGGCCCCGAGAGGCTGCGGGGACTCGGAGGCTGTCACGACCCAGGGCGGGCTAGTAGCGCCGGGTCCGGCCGGGCGCGCAGCACCGTGCGCGCGTTCAGGTCCCCGCGGACACATCTGGGCGTGGGCTTTGTTCCGATGTGCTCACACCTGCGCGAATCGCCCTGCGCAGAGGCGGGGACCCACTGCCACCCGCAGCTCTCGCAGCCCTGGCGAGGACTCGGGGCATCCACAGAGAACAGGAGCCACACTGGGCTCGGCAGGCTGGGAACTCTGGCCCGGGCTTTGTTGGCCTCCAGGTGCCTGCCCCGGCAGTCTCGGTACCACACCCTGCCTTGGTGAGCTGGGGCTTGTCAGGGCTGGCGCTCCGGGCTTGGACCGACTGGAAAGACGCCCTTTTCTGCCCAGGCTCTCAGTGGTGGGATTTGGCAACAGCTTCGCCTGGCGATGCTGTGCTGAGCCAGGAGTGACTGCCCGCCCTGGAGCATCATCTAGCCATGAGCGCCATCTGCGCGCGGCACCGCCAGGGCCCCTCCAGGCAGTGCGGGTGGGCGCCTCCGGACGCTGGTTCCCGTGGTGCGAGGCCGGAGACTCTCCGAGCCGGCACCTGCCATAGAGCAGAGGGGGGACAGCATGTCGCTATAAGCTGAGCCTGGAGTCATTCTGTGAGAAGTGTAGCAGGTGTAGCAGGAGAGTTCCCGGTGTCCATGGGGTTGATAGGCAGGTCGTTTCTTTTCCTTTGCTTGCGGCTTGCCGCTGCATCTTCATCCCTCGTTCTGGGTGGCGGTGCCGGTGATGTGCCAGCACGGAGGGATGTCGCCATGCAGAGGCGTCTTCTAGCCTACTTCCCCTCTCTCTTTTCTTTTCGCATTGACAGCTCCAGCCTGGGACTACACCGGGAAGGGAGAACTCCAGAAAGGGAAATATTCTTTTCCTTTCCGGGTCCAGGATGGTTAACACTCAGAAGTGTGAGTCTAAGGAGCTGGGCCCATCCTGGCTAGAGGCTCTTGCAGGAAGCAATGGAGCCAAGTGTAATGGGGCAGAAGGGATTGGTCCCTCATCAGGAGCCCCCCTCTGGGGTTGTTCGGAAAAGGAACACAGTGGCTACTGAATTCAAATCTGCTTGAGTTGGGCTGCATGGGATGCTACTGCCTTATGCTGACCATGCGGTGCTGTGAGACCTTCCGGAGGTGCTGAAACGGTTTAGACAAGTGAATTCTTTCAACTTTAATAACAGTAGCCAATATGCTTTGAAAGTTTCAGGCGTGTTATGCACTGTGCATATTATATATCTTATTTCAATTCCCATAACAACTCATTTTTAAATTAGGAGACATGTCAAGTAACTTTCACAAGACCACATATCTAGGGAGTAGTAGAGTGAGGTTGGCCTTTTGTCCTGATGTTTTCCTATCCGTGACTGTGAATGTGTGACCTTCTGGTGACTTTTCATTAATTCAAAGGAAGTCTAAAGCTCCAGTGTTCAACACCAAGAAGGTACATGACAAAGCCATTTGATTTTGACTCCTGCAGACTTTTTGGTAGAGGGAATACTGTAACTCATGGGACTGGGTTGCGAAATAACCTTGTGTTCCTATAATTCCTTTACATGTTCTTTTTATCCCTATTATCTTTCAAGTGTGTGGGTATTAACTCATAACCATTTCAGTCACTGAAGTATCCTTAGTAACCAGAGCCCCCTGCAATTACAGAGAAATATTCCTGGCAGATCATAATTTTGCTGTTTGTTTTTGAGACAGGGTCTCCTTATAGCCTCAGCTGGCCTGGAACTTGCTATATAGACCAGGCTGGCCTTGATCTCACAGAGATCTTTCTGCCTCTGCCTCCCTAGTGCCGGTAATTGGATTAAAGATGTGCCACCGTGCCCTGCAGTATATCATAATTTTTAATAAAATGTTTCTTTAAAAAGAAAAAGCAGTCCTGGCATGGTGGTACTTGCTTTCAATCCCAGCACTTGGGTGGCAGAGGCAGAGGCAGGTGGGTAGATCTCTGTGAGATCAAGGCCAGCCTGGAACCTGGTCTTCATGGTGAGTTCCAGGCTAGCTGGGACTACAGGGAGACCCTGTCTCAAAAATACCACCACCCCAAGAGAAGACAAATCCCCCCCCCCATGTGTGTGCACTCATGCTGTGGTGGTTTGAATGAGAATATCTCCCATAGACTTGAAGTATTTGAGCATTTTGTCCCCAGTTGGTGGTGCCGTTTTTGGAGGTCTTAGAAGGAAGGTGTGGCTATGCTGGAGGAAGCTCATCACTGGGGGTGGGTTTAGAGAATTCTTAAGCCTTGCCAGATCCCGAGTTGCTTCTGCTTCCTGTGACTTCTTGAAGATGTGAGAGCGTAGGTTCTGCTCCTACTCTAGCTACCTCTGCCCCCATGCCCATCTGCCATGATGGACTGACTCTTTGCCCCTTTGGCAACTGTAAGCTAAATTAACTCTTCCTTTTATAAGTTCCCTTGGTCATGCTGTTTCTATCACAGTAACAGAAAAGTAACTAAGACACATGCACAAGTCAGAGGATAACTTTTTGGAAATTGGTCCTCTCCTTCCACATGTTTTGAGGCAGGGTCTTCCTTGTTTCTGCTGCTGTGCTGCGTACTGACAGATTCTTGGGCTTCCATCTTACCCTAGGAGTGCTGCGATTCCAGACACCACTACAGGTCTTTTGTGTGGGTTCTGGGGATTAAATTTAAGTTGTCAGACTTGCACTGAAAGTGCTTTTACCTAATGAGCCATCTCTCTAGCCCCAAGGCAAATGTTTTTATTTAATGTTTCTATCTCAGGGCCCCAATCCTGAATGTACTTTGTAGACTGTTTGGACTACGGAGAAGTTATTCCTCAAATTCCATAGTGAGTTTAAACAGAATCCTAGCGCAGAAACTTAAGGAGGCATTCAATATCCTAAATCTATGGGAATGTGTGGTGTTTTTACCAAGTTGCTCCATGTTAACTTGTAGAAAAGAAGCATTTGAATGCAAGCGATATCAGCTATTCCTGGAATAGCTGTTAGAATTATTATAATTAACCAGTCAATAGGAAAAATGGATTAATTTTGTATTTATAATCCTGACTCAGAAAAGTTGCTGAATGTTTCTCATATTCCTAGGCTTTTAGTGTTCTAAGAGAGCACTTTGTACCTGACCATTTGAATTTCAAAAATTGCATATTGGGCTCAGAGGGGTGGCTTGGTCTTGAAATGTAGTGCAGTGATGTGGCCTTGGACTAAGTGCCAAGCACCTTTACACCACAGTGCTGTTACTGTAGCAGTGAAGGCCAATGAAAAGCAAGTCATCTTTGGAAATGCTGCTTTTCCATGTGATGATAATGGGTCTGAGTGCTTCAGAAGTGTGAGTCAGAGGGCTCTGAGAGCATACAGACCTGGGCTGCAGCAAATTTCCTTAAGAAATCCTTTAATCCCAGCACTCAGAAGGCAGAGGCAGGCAAATCTCTGAGACTGAGGCCAGCCTGGTCTACATAGGGAGTTCCAGGCCAACTGGGGCTGCGACCCCATCTTAATGCTCTTATGTATTATTCTCCTATGTGGATGGAATCTGTAGATATTATATTGTGTAGGCACAAAGGTGTTCATTAGTGTTTACTGAATGCATGGTTCCTGTTCTGGGCACTGGGGAGACAGTGATGAGTGATACATTTCCTTACCTCAGGGAAGTCAATTCCAATTTTGTCATCTATGACCACAGATTTATATTTTATATAGTAAATGTACAGTTTGGTGAACTTGCACAAACTAAACACACTGGTAGATAGCACTCAAATTCTGAAACACAATGTAATGGCCATTTGAGAAAACCCTTGTGGCCCCTGCCAGCCATCACTCTCCTGAAAGGAAACCACTAAATATCACTGTGGTTAACACTCACACCATGGCAGCCTAAGTCTCAGTTTGCAGCCTACAGCAGCTGCCATTGGAGCCTCATCCCATTCTAAAGAGCAGTTTTCATCTAATGGGGAAGACAACCCTGAGCAAACTGAACCAGAGCACAGTGCCCCCTGTGTGTTTGGATCTGAAGGGTGCTTAGGTTAGCTTTCAACTGTTGAGATGGTTAGTGAGGAGGAAGTGATTTGCAAAAGATTGAAAATTACCAAATACACTTAGGTGTTCTTTTTATCTTTTATTTTATGCTTTTCCATCTGAAAAAGCCCTGAATCTTCTTGACAGGTTCACACGGAGGAGAGACAGGGGTGCTAAGGGCAAGACCCAGCAGCATATTTTATTTAACTCATTGCCTACTCATGCAAATGAATGTTCATTTGGGTTAAAAAAAAAAAGCTTCTGTTGGCATCAGAGTATTAAGATATATTAAGCTCTAGGTACAATAAAAATTACATATATTTAAAGGCATGTAATTCGATGTGTTGATGTAGGGATATATTGTGAAATGATTACCATAAACTAATTGTCATTCATCAACACTTGTGTTATATTTTTCTACAATGAGAGTATTTAAGGTCTATTGTCACAACAAACTCTTAAGAGGGCAATACAGTACATTAACTTTAGAGTCACTACCCAATTCACTAGCTCTCCAGAATCTATTGCTCCGCCCTAACTAAAACTTTGTACCCTTTGACCAACATAGCTCCATTCCCAACCCACATCCCTGTCTC